TTCAAATTGTTCTAGCTAGAAAAAAAATAGAAGCTGTCCAGCGGCAAAGGAAAAAAAAGCCATTTGGGGAGCAAAAAAAGCTGAACCAATTCAATTCACCCTTTGCATCGTGTAGTCATTTTAAAAAACAAACAAACTTAAAATTCATTCATTTTTATAAGCAGAGCAAATCTGACCATGTAATCACACACTAAAACTATCAGCTAATGTATTCAAGCTGCTGGCATGCGTATATCTGAAAGGGCTTGATTACATACTGTATTTTCTGTATTTAACGAAAAGGGCAAATACTTCCTTGGCTTTTGAGTCATTTGGTATGGTCGACCTTCTTCCCATGGACCTGAATGAGAGAACTGACGGGGCCGTCCAGGGACATTCTTTGGGTGCTTCCAGGAGAGCCCTTTATTTGTCAGTTGCCCAGCTCATTCATGATAATTTCGAGGGAGGTCCAGGATTTTTTCCCCTTATATTTGTAACCTACTTTCTCCGCTATTTCTTCCCCATTTTTTTAACATGACAAATCCATAAAGGGAGAAGAGATGGTTGCATAACATATGTATTTGGTTTTATCTCACTAGGAAGCCTGCATCTCCAAAAACACATTTTATTGATCTGTTAAAGGGGTAGGTGGGCAAGAGGGCACATGGATAGCTAGAGGTAACAGAATCATGTTATTGTCTTCATTCAGAGTCTGGCAAAGTTACTTTTTTAGACTATGATCTACAGAATCTCCAAGCCCGGAAGAGTTGGGAGAGTCTGGGAATTGCAGACCAGTACATGACTTTCTCAAGCTGTACGTTCCCTGATTAAAATGGTAGGTCTAACCACAAACAACACACATACCTCAGATGTCATGTCCCCCCCAAACCCAGCAACACCTCAAAGCAACAGAATTGCCATAAACATCAGAGACATCAACTTATCTATAGCGTGCACACCAGGCCTTATCAACAGGAATGAAATTTCCTTCCGAATATTTTTATTTCACCCCAAACGATGGTTGCTGTATCTATCAAATTATCCCACCTTGCCCTGAGTGATGAGCAAAGACCAGGTTTGGGGGGGGGGCGTCTGGGCATGTATGAGGTCCCAACTATTATTATATGATACAGAGTCTTATCACTAGCCTCAGATTCAGATAATTATCTGTTGGGTATTTTTTATCAGGGCACCCGGGCTATGGAATCAGAGACAGTTCTGACACTGCTCGTATAGTGAGACCAGTTTGCTTTGTTTCTTGGCTGCCCTCACGAGAAACACCACATGGACACAGCGTCTTCCGACAAACCCAGTAAAGATGGCAAGACCATCCCCATAGGAAAAAGATTGACTTTGCTCTTTCCAGCAGTTTCCATTCTCTCTGAATCCCATCAAGGGACAGAAACGGAATATGCAGCCGGTCCCCCTGTTTTCCTGAACCATGTTTTCCAGTCACAGTACCATTCTGGTTCTAATCCGGGCAAAAATTAGATCACCCTCAAATGAATTCTCCTCTGGGATCAGAAGTTAATGGGAAAGAGAGTTTTTGCTACATGTTACTTCTGCTTAATCTGTCAGGAGAGATATTTTCTGCTTGTTTATGTCTTCATCTTTTTTGCTCATTTTCTTTTTACCAGTTGACTCTGGCAGTTGATTCTTTTGTTATGCAGTTTTAAAACCCAAAATGTATAGTCACCAATTTCCCATTTGCTGTTCCTTAGTTTTTCAGTTCTGTTTAAAAACAACATATTTTCCCATTTGCTGTTCCTTAGTTTTTCAGAGTTCTGTTTAAAAACAACGTATTTTCTGTCCTTTATTTATTTATTTATTTATTTGTTTGTTTGTTTGATTGATTGATTGATTTATACCCCGCCCATCTGGCCTATAAGACCACTCTAGGCGGCCATTGTAGGGTTTTCTGTAACTTTAAGTTTAAGAAAGTTAAATAAGTGAGTAAAACGTTTGTGTGTGTGTGTGTGTGTGTGTGTGTGTCTGTCTGTCTGTCTGTCTGTCTGTCTGTCTCTCTCTCTCTCTCTCTCTCTCTCTGTGTATGTGTGTTTGAAAATTTCCATATTTGGAAACAGTATAAGTACAACGATTGTAATCTGGGAAGCCCCCGGTTCAAATGCTGTCTGTGACATCGATGCATTGGGTAGTCTTACGTGAGCAAGCTTCTCCCAGCCCTAACCCCACCCCACCCTTTCTGCAATCTGGGCATAAGAATACAGAACTACTGACTACTTTGCTGAATTGTCCAAAATATTGTCCCATGATCTACTCTGACCTTCCCCAAATAATTGCTTTCCAGATGTTTTAGATCACAACTTCCATTATCCTCAGTCAGCAAGGCCGTATGGAGGGTGCCTGGCTGAGGAAAATGAACCAAGTCTCTTTCATCATCTAGTCTGGTCCTCAATTAGCGGGGCTGTGCAAACGACGATGCACATAGAGAGTGTCTGTAGGAAAGACTCTAATGTGGCAATTAAATGCCACTATATTAGATTAAACAAAGTTAAATTGTAGTGACAAATCCATTATTGACATCCTTATCTGTGACTCTGAGGCTGAAGTCCACCTAAGCATATATAAGAAAAAGAAAAAAAACCCAAGGGAAGAAGTTCTATCAGTCCAAAGGATTTGCTTGAACTTCATGAATTCAAAACTGAAGTACTACTTTCATTTCATAGATAAGAAACTGAGGCAAAACTTCAATTTGAGCTGAGAGTTGAATCTAGGCTATACCCTGCTAAGCCTCTTCTCCCAATCCACTAGGGTCATTTTCCCCTGGGATATGTAGCTCAATCTTCTGTATACTGATGTAGAAAGTAAGATCTACAGAGTGAAGTAGGACTTCCTTCTGGGAAGCTGCCTGGTGATTTGCCACCGTACCATTTTGCTCTAAGCAGTCAGCAACATGAAGCCCCTGTTGGCTAGCTTAAAGGTTGAAAACTGCAGTTACACAGAATATATAGCTAAAATGCAAGAAAGGCTTGAGCATGCTTTTGCATGAACAATATTAAAATATTATCTAAAAGAAAAAACAACAGAAACAACCCCAAACTGACATCTTTATTTGGAACAACTTGTGACATGGCTCCAGAACTCTGCAATAGAGACGGGTGAAAGATGTTTCCATTCCTGCATAACGTTTTGCTTGGTCACTATTCCCCATCCTCCATTTCCCAACTGATTGTAGGGTTTTCTGTAAATTTAAGAAGAGCTCCATGCCTTCCTTCTCTGTGGGTGCTTTCTGCCAGTTACTCTGCCAATCCAATTTCTCTACAAATTACAATCTTCAGTGTGCATCCTCTTGTCCCTCCATTCCAAGCAATGTGCTCACTTTGTCATCCAGTCCTCAATTTTCTTACTTTCTCTACATCATTTCTTGTAGCAATTACAAAAAAAGAGAGAAACCTGTAGTGCTTTAACAACTAATAAACGCACTATAGCAGAAATGTTTGTGGACCATGCAGCCCACTTCACCAGATGCACGTAGTGACCACCCACAAGTTTAGATGTACATATATGAAGAAATTCCCACAAACCACGTATACATTTACTTTACATTGGAGATTCTAGGAAAGAGTAAATTCATTTGACAAAGAGAGTTGTGGTGATCCACAAAAGTTCATCCTATAATACATTTGTAAGACTTCTGGTTGCTAGACATCTCTGTGTTAGTTTCAGAAAGTTCACATTCAAATGTAACAATTAGTCTTTAAGGTGCCACAACATTTTTGGCCTTTTTGTTTTCTTTTTGCCTATAATTACTGGTTTCACTTTCCTAATACAGTAGATCGCTTTTGCTCCTCTAATTCACTTTACCCAGCAGCTTCCTGCCACCCTAAATTTTTACTGATTTTAGACTTGAGATTCTGTCCTTCTAGTTTAGCTCATTCCCTGCCTGGGGAGGAAAATGACATTTTAAACTGTGTATCTGTACTGGCAAAATTTGGAACAAGGTACTACATAATCTTTGCTATGTTGCTCTTTTTATTTCTATCTGTTCTTTACTCTTCCACAGCTGTGTCAATAACTGAACTCAGAGCCCCATCATGCTTTGTCCCATCTCTCATTTCTTAATGGCATGTTCTGTGGCTTTCAATAAGACTGGGTCCCAGTATGCTTTCATTTGTTCCCCATGAGTCTATAATGATAGTTTTCATGAGCTTACTCTCTGTATCCTAGCTTCTTCTCAAATGTCTGATGAGACTTAAAAGACAAAGACTGGCCAGCAGTTCATCTACTAATTGTTTAATCCCACCCTCAGTTATTCATTATTTTATTTATTTGTTTAACAAAGAAGAGCATCTTAGGCGACATACAACTTTCTACAACAAGCTCAAACTACTCTGAAATATATTTCTGTGAACTATAATCAGGTCTTGGGTTAACCGAAAGAGCAGAATTTAAAAAAGAAAAAAGCTAGCTGGTATACTTCCTAGCTCTTAGTACTTGGCTCTGTTGTGGCCATTTCACATTTAACATCTACAAACTGGTCAGCCACTCCAAATACATTTGGAAGGATACTTCTAACTAATACCCTTAGGTATTCAGGAAGAGAGAAGATAGGCAGGATGCCCACCCATCGTGGTGTCTTTGGAACCCAACCTGACCACTCACAGCAGCAAGATGTCAGCTACTATGCAAAATTGCTTTAATCTGAATTTAGCTATGGAACCTATTATAATAACTGGGATTAAGGTGTCTCTACCCACATGCAGAATGCATAAGTGACATTTTGTCCAGCAACCCAATAGGAGTGAAAGAGCTTCCAAGAACAGAGAATGCAGATAAACGTTAGTGCTTTCCTTCTCAACCCTTCTCAACTTCCAGCCATGGCATAATCTCCTATTTTTCCCAATTCTTCCCATGCCATTTCTCTAGACTGTGGTCCCATTTCTTTACTATCATCCTTCGTTCCTCCTGGCCATGGCACATACATCTATAAACAAAGCACAACTCAACAATTAATAAATGTTAGTCAGCTGGGCATTGGCCAGGCAGTGGATCAAACTGACCTGATGCAGAGCACAAAACTTGCGTGCTTTTTCAATGTGCCTCAGTCCACGAAGACTTGGATTCCCTGTGGAAAAGCGCTGAGATGGCTCTGGAGAAAGGGTTTCCACTTCTCTCTGTTGGTCTGCCTCTACTGGGCGCTCCCACGAGGTCCACGGCTGTATTGATGGTAGAGCGAGTGAGCAGGAGAAAACAAACGAGGAGGAGACGGATGGCCAGAAAAAAATAACAAAAAATATGACACAGCAGCAACCACCCAAGTGATGTCTCCGCCTCCTCCAAAAGGGGACTGGAAAGGCAAAAAAAGAACAAGAGAGAGAGGGAGTGAGGGGAAAAATACTTAGAGCCCCTATAGGAACCAAATGAAGTGAATATTCTGCTGCCGAAACCAATTCAGGGAATATGCTCTGTTGCATAGAAGAGGTGGTAGAGGCCTTACATTTCTGGATTTCCTATTCCAGCTTTGGAGAAAGACAATTGTCAGTAATACAGAGATACGGAAGCCTCTTAGATCTCATCCCAAACAGAGAGGGAGGGGATATGCGGCCCAAGAGTCTTGTGTCAGCTTCAAATGCTAGGAAGTTAACAATCAACAGTTTTGCACTCTTATCTCTTGCGAATAGGCCCACAAACACAAGATATGTTTCTGATAGCCTTCCTTCTGTTTTTGCCTGATGCCAGCAGCTAGTTTTATTAATACTGTTCATATGGAAAGATTACAGAAGGAGTCACAGAGGTTGTGTAGAAAATCATAAGAACTGCCTGCCTATCTACTCGCCCCACTTTCCATTATCCTTCCTGGTTACCCAGAATAAGTGCCAGAGTGGGACTGATTCAGGTGCAACTAAGGACATGTCTTGGATATCTAGTGTAGTGGGTACAACGGCTGACTCGGACTCAGGTGGCCTTGGGTTTGAATCCCAGACTCAGCCATGGAAGCTCACTGGAGGTGTAGAACTGATAAGGCAACTCCTCAATTTAATCTCATCTACCATTAAAGCCCCATTAGGGTTGGTATAAGTCATTTCTGACTTGACAGCACATAAGACACACAAGGACATGTCCACAGTACAGGGCAGAACAGAGTTGTACACCAATTCCTCTGGCCTGAAAGAGATGCTGAATAGCAGTGGACAGGCAGAACAATTGCTCACTACTTTTCATTTCCAAGACCATCGCGTGTTACAACTTTTCACTTTTTCCCTGACCCTTTTTTCAGCTGATTTCCAGGAAGATGTTAATGCCTTCCATCTGTCTGTTGCCAAAGTTACCATTCTTCAGGTTGCTCCCTCTCTTCGTTTCCCCCACACACCCACACACATGAGGACAAAAAGAGGACACCGATGTTCATAAAATTCTATATGCTAATTCATGCACACTAATGATATAACACACAAAAAAGTATTTTTCAAAATTTAAATAGAATCACAGTACAATTCACCCAAGCGAGGAAGCCTCTAACCAGCTGGCCTTTGTTCCTGCAGCCCAGCTATGAAAGGGCAACTTCAAGATCAGATCCTTGACACCCTTCAAACAAGGGACACCTTCAAAAAGAGAATGTCCTCTGGCAGCCCTTCAAGCGGAGGGCCGTCTTCAGTCCCAGATATTTCAGGCTTTCGATGCCTCTGTCCCCATGATGGAGAGATATAGCTCCCTCCCCATGTTTAAAGGTATGAGGTTGGGTGGGTAATACTCAAGGAGAGAAGTCAGTGGAAGGGTTAATCTTGTCAGAAGAGCATATCCATGCAAATGTACTCATATGTGAACTTCTGCTGAGAAATCTCTACCTGGAAAACCCTGCAGAGGGTCACCATAAGACAGAATTGACTTGATGGCACATTATGAGGATGAAGAGGAAGAGGAGGAATTAGAAATGCCACTGCAAGGCTTGCCTTCCCTCTTCCATTCTCTCCACTGAGCCACAAGACACACCACTGCAAGACTGTAAACATTTTTAGACGTGTTTGAGCTCTAGTTACTTGATAAGTACTACTGAATTCATTCTGAACAAAACAGGCACAGTCAGTTTATGAACTTATTTCACCTTCTATCAGAAGCAAATACAGAACAAGCTGTTCCTTCCAAAGTCAAGGAATTGCCCTGCATACATGATACTTTATTTTATTGTGGCATAATAAATTTCCACCATTAGTTTCATCCTCAACACTACAACAACCATGTTGTTGTTGCTGCTGCTGCTAGTATCAATGTACCAGTGAACCCCTCAAAGTGGCCATACTGTTTCTGACAGGCCTCCTCTCTCAAGGGCTGCTTTTGAGCAAACACCCAAAAGATAATATGCGGTTAGAGTAAAACATTATTTGATTATGCCGAAAAGACCCCAAGAAACCCTTTGCCTCTTTGAAAACTGGTTTGACTTCCTTTTGAATGTTGCACTCACTTCTGGATTCCACAAATAAATGTCCTCAGACTTTTCAATAGCCTCAATTTCAGCTTAAAATTATGTCATTTGTTTTTTTTAAAAAAAGCAATGAAAAATTAAAACCAACCATAAAATCCAACAGATTCAATAAAATAATAATATAATAAAACACACACCAGTTTAGCATGTAAAACAAAAGCCTTGGACAGAAAAGTATCTACTCCATGGATGAACAGAAAGTTTTTTGCCATCCAATAGAAATACAAAGGGTATCTAAGCTTCATAAACTGAGAATTTATGTCTTCAGAATAGTCTACTGTTGCTGCTGTGTGACTCACTATTCTGATCAGCAAGAGTCTAACTCAGAGCTGCAACTCGTGCAGAAATACTTGACAAGAAGGAGCGTAACTTGGTGGTAGAGGTCAGATATTGCACTTAGAAGGTCTTAGAGCACAGTCTCGTTAGTGGAAAAAAATCCTATTTGAATCAACTTTGTTGTTGTTTAGTCGTTTAGTTGTGTCCGACTCTTCGTGACCCCATGGACCAGAGCACGCCAGGCCCTTCTATCTTCCACTGCTTCCCGTAGTTGTGTCAAATTCATGTTGGTTGCTTCGCAGACACTGTCCAGCCATCTCATCCTCTGTCGTCCCCTTCTCCTCTTACCGTCACACTTTCCTAACATCAAGGTCTTTTCCAAGGAGTCTTCTCTTCTCCTGAGATGGCCAAAGTACTGGAGCCTCAGCTTCAGGATCTGTCCTTCCAGTGAGCACTCAGGGTTGATTTCCTTTAGAATTGATAAGTTTGTTCTCCTTGCAGTCCAGGGGACTCTCAAGAGCCTCCTCCAGCACCACAATTCAAAGGCATCAATTCTTCGGTGGTCTGCTTTCTTTATGGTCCAGCTCTCAATTCCATACATCATGACAGGAAAAACCATAGCATTGACTATTCGGACTTTTGTTGGCAAGGTGATGTCTCTGCTTTTTAAGATGCTGTCGAGGTTTGTCATCGCTTTCCTACCAAAAAGCAGGCGTCTTTTAATTTCGTGGCTTCTGTCTCCATCTGTAGTGATCATGGAGCCCAAGAAAGTAGAATCTGTCACTGCCTCCATATCTTCCCC